ACGGCGGGGGCGTCGTGCTGGAGGTTGACGCGGAGGTTCTGGGGGCGAACTCGGAGGTGTTTGCGGGTTTGATAGCTGATTGCAAGCGAGGTGGTGGTGGAGCCACCATGGAGGTGGAGAACTTGGGTGTCTTCACTGACACTATTCAGCTTATGTTTGAAGATGAGGATCGCATCACCAAGAGCCTCCTCAACTATGGCGTTTATCGCTCCATTCACATTTTGGAGGTTCCTATTTTTCCACATTTTCCTCTTTCACTTACGTTGCCAAGTTTTTCTTTGGGGAAATTGATTACTATTTCGTTATCACCAGTCAATTCAAACCGTGGCATGAAATTAAATACAAATGAAAAATCTTTTATGGCAAAGGAAAAAGTACATGGATGTTTAAATAGTGAAGCTTATAGTAGCAAGTAAAGAACCACTTTGTTACCTAAATTTGGACCATCATGTTATATGACTTCTTAAAACTAAGAAATTGTTTAATAATTTTCTAGAATGTCAAATAAGTACTTGGATTTAACTATTTACTATCGTTTTATCACTAAATATACATATCAATATTATCATTCTAGTTACACATTTTACAATTTCTTAGTTTCTCATTTTCAATGACTAATATAACAACTCCTTCCGAATTGAGAGACTAATTTAGATGTTTATTCTTATAGTGAGGGGTCATGGGTTCTAGTCATCATCAAATCACTTTCTGTGGTCTCTTTTGACTCGAACAAGATTGACTCTAGTTATAAAATACTTACGATTTTGGGTTAAAACAACTTTCATTTGGAGTTAACCCTGCACATGGGCGACTCTTAGTGTTTGTAAAATTAATTTTGGATAATGATTTTACAATATTGATTTTTGTTAAAATTGATTTCAAAGTGGAATAATTTAAGTTTGAATGTTTTTTTTTAATGAAAGCAAGTTAGCTGCTAAAACTTGGTATACTTTTTTTTTTATTAGAAGGCAAAAATTTCCTTAAGTTTTTTCAACTCAATTAATTTTGAATCAAGAACGATTTTCTCAACGTGAACCAAAATATGTGAATATATATATCTAGAATTACATTAATTAGTATTCAATGTGACTTTGGATGATCCAATGTGATTTTGGATGATCCAATGTGAATTCAATCACGCATTTAGTCTCTAACGAGTTTGACCTGATATATTACTAGGTTTCAGCTGGAATTATGTTCACTAAGGGCGTTCATTGCTGTTTGAAGTACCTTGAGGCGGTTCCTTGGACTGAGGAGGAAGAAGAGAAATTGAGGAGCTTGTTCTCAAGATTTGAGTTCGATGATGCAACAACAAGAGACATCTTAGGAAGACTATACTTGCATGACTCGGTAAATTCCCAGCCAAACGTGGCCCAACAACTTGTTTGGTCTATCAGCACTTGTGAGGATGCAAATGCCAGAAATGAAATGAAGTCACTAGTCAGGGGTCTTCTTTGTAAAAGCTCTGTGTATGAGAAGAACCATCGTGATCTTAGCAAGAAGGATCTATATGCTGTATGCAACTCGTGCCTAGGTTCACTTATCAGTCTCTTTGAGGAGGCATCTGGCACCACTCCTCCTGAAAGGTTGATGAAGAAAGATGTGAGCAAGCCTCTAATTGAGCGAATATCAAAACAAGTTGATAACATCAACTGGTTGCTGGAGATTATGCTTGATGGGCAAGTGGCAGAGGACTTTGTGGACATTTGGACACATCAGCAACAACTTCTTAAAATGCATGACATTGCGTCCCCTATGATCAGATATGAACTCAGTAGAGTGTCAGCAATCCTATTTGTTGCTATGGGAACAAGAAAACTCCAATGCCCTTTGGAAGCTAGATCAGGGCTTCTCCAAGTATGGTTTGGACCTATGCTATTGGACTTTGGTTGGCTTCAGAGATGCAGAAAAGGGCTTGATATGAAGGCCTTGGAAGAGGCTATGGGGCAGACACTTCTTACTCTACCTTTGAAGCAGCAGTATGTGCTATTTATGGAATGGTTTCGGCATTTCTCAAGACATGGCACTGAATGCCCAAATATGAGCAAGGCATTCCAAATTTGGTGGCGCCGATCATTTTTAAGAGGCTCTGAGACTTATGCCGTTGAATCAAGATGAATGATGGTACTGTGGTTTGTCATTTCTAGTGTGTGTAGAGTTGGAATTAAGTGAGAGATTCTGAATTATTTGAACCGAATAACGTAGATAAGTAGGATCATTATCTTACCAGCTTCATGACTAACTCTTATCAAATTGTTGTTGTGGACAAAAAAATGGATTTTGGATTCATTCAATGCTGATTGCTGAGAAGATATTCCAGCTGGAAGAGGGATGTGTTAATATAGCAAACCAACCTCAACCTGCATTGAGTCAAGAGCTGTGACTAGATTGTATTTCTAATAATATATTTATTTTTAAGATTTGTACCCAATCATTTGTTGAGATAAGTTATGAGAGATAGGTATGAAGATGGCGTATACAGCATTTTTTTTTTTTTACTTCTAGTTTTAGAAGAGTAAAATGGGAGAGAATTAAAGAACTTGATGGCAAAATCATTGAAAAACAGTCCAGAAGATATAGTTTATATAAAAGACCTAAACCTGATACACATATAAGTTAGCATAATCGTATATAAACACAATACTAGAATGTTTATTTCTGATGATTTAAGAACAGAATTCTGAAGCAGTTTTTCATCCGCCCGACTTAATATATACCAAAGGGGTTTAAAGTTAATTAAACAGAGATTGGTAATAAATTATCTTGTGTCAAGAACGATTCAATGACAAAATAATTGGAAAAAGGAATAACTTGGTTTTCGGTGTAAAATCACGAGCCAGCTAGGCAGCTAGTGTTAATCTAGTTTGGAGAGGAAAAATAAATATCTTTCAGAGGGAATGCTTATGCATGCAGAGGGAAAAATAAATAGATAAAAGTTTATCAGTTGTAATTTTATTCAAACCACGGTTTAAAGAAAAGTAATATAATACGCCATAAAATTTCTCAACATTCTCTTCAATCCACTTTATAATACGCTAACAACACAATGCAGCGCACTAGTCAGAGTTTCCTAGAAAACGCGACTTAAAGGTGAACCTTCAGCAATATTTTCTTGACCAGGATTATCAACCTTCTTTTATGTCGCAAGAATCACAACATACAAATGAATGAGTATAAACCAAGCAAATTTGCGGTTATTTATGCACAAATTACATTGAGTTAAAATTCAGGGGAAAAGAGCTTCTCAATAAATCTATAGTCACAAATGCTTCAGCTATGCAAGAGTTATTAGCCAAGTTCATGGGAAGATTGACTAATTCATTGAATTCTATAGTTACTTTATGGTTTCTCAAGTGAATAGCCTCATAATCGAACACACTTGTTAGAACTGGATCAAACCAATTGACCGAATCCCTGGAAAACCAGTTAAATTGGTTAAAAACTACACAAGCTGGACAAAATAGGCCATAACAGGTTTGCCGAAAAGAAGTGTCTTTTCAGTAATTAAAAGTTATAATATTATGGTAATTGATACAATTTTAATCCAATATTGTGACGATTGATAATTATATCACTCGTAGTTATTTATTTTTTAATTGAAATTATTGTATATTTTTAAACTTAAATGTTATGAAATATTTGATTTGGTTTTATGTTTAATTTTGAATATTATATGTGATAAGTTATGATATTTATAAGTGAAGTTTAATTTTAAATATTATTAAGTTATAAATATTATGTAAATTTGTATTTAATATTGTCTAATATAATAATAATATATTAAAAATCAAATAACATTATTTGATTATATCAATTTAATAACATTTCAATCATAAATAAACCACTGAACTTTGATTTAATGCTTTCGCTAGTTCAACAATCAATCTAATATATCGAATATTAAAATTTTTGATGTCGAGACACTGCTTATTATAGCAAATTGTCTTAACTATTATAACACTATTTAATCGATAATACTTCCAAAATAATATATGATTAGCACACCGCACATAGGTTTGATGAGTTATATTACGAGTGCGTTTGGCACAATTAGTGGGTAAGTTAGTCGAAAATTAAAGAATTAGCTACAAGTTGAAAATTTGGTTAAAAGTAGATAAGGTAACAAACTAAATTAAAAGTGTTTGATAAAAACTATTTACTAAACTAGTTGATTAGTATAAAATGAAATAAAAGAATATAAGACACTCGTGTTGGTTATCTTAAATTATACTTGATCATTAATAATGCATTCATCAAAAATAGTTTATTTTGTATTGACAAATAATCCTTAGAACAGTAGAAATAAAAGAAAATATATATTGAAAAAAATAATTGAGTTATATCAAGATCAAAATAATACTTAATATATTTTGAAGAAATAATTAAAAGTGTTTAACTTTATTTTTGATGATCCTATTAACTAATATTCTTACCAGATAACAAGACCTTGGGGATTTTAGTGAATCTCTTAAAATCATGTTAAGATATTCCAAAAATGAATACGTTCAAATAAATAACCTTTGTTATGAGAAGAAGTATGTTCTAAAATGAAAAATGCACACATAATTACAACAATCACGGGATTTGATTGTCATAGTTAAAACCCAAAAAACAAAGATAAAAACAATTATTTAAAAGACATAACTTGGATACAATACCTTAGGTGGTGTTACTCTTATTAGAATTTAAGTTTCATCTTTGATAATCTGCATATCAGATATATGTATTAAATGATTACACATTGTCAAAGTGAAACTCATTCATTTTTATTGGAGAACACCACCAACAGTATTTAAAAATCTGTATCCAAGTTTAATCATTTAATGGCCCTCTAGCTAGTTTGCCAAAGGTCAGTCTAAGTCATCACAAAAGTTCTTCATAGCAACTCTAAATAACTTCAAGGTTGTGTTGTCGGCATGAACAATGGAGGGTCTAAGTCGATTAACTCTAGGAAGTCCAAGTTGTCAAAGCTCCCGACATCACCTGTAGTAGCCATTTCGTTTGTGCCAAATCCAGTAATCTGGCCAGAGAAGAAACCGGCCATGTAGTCTTCCAAGCCCTCAAAAAATCCATCTAAAGCTGCACCTTCAGCAATGTTTTCCAGTCCAGGATTATCAACCTTCTGTCATCCCACGAGAATCACCACAAACGTCAATCAATGAGTATATAACAAGCATATTACAAAACAATGTGCATACTTAGCTTAAAACTCAGATAAACAAGTCACTGGAATTAGGCTAGTAGTAAGGATAAAGGTTCATGCCCCTTGGGACCATGAATCCAGAAAAATAAAAAAGCTACTCGACAAATTTATAGACAAAGAAATTGCATGTATAGTATATATGAACGTCTTGAGTGGTATCTTTAATTGCTCATCTACCGAGCCTTCCAGGTTTTAGAAAGTAAATATTCTACTTACGCCTAACAGCAAGTTGCATTGGCGGAGGAAAAAGGTATACCTACAAGATGAAAAAATAATGCACGCTATGCTTATTTGTTTGTTTGTTTCATGAAATTAGCACAAAAACTGAAGAGTATAGAAAGCATTTTTAAACCAAATTACGACAAATAAAAAAGTCCAGCAGATTCTTTGATGAAACTTGGCCCAAAAAATAGGGCTAAATAGACAGCAATGGCATTTAGCATATGGGCCTCAAATCCTTGACATTATACATGTAGACTCCATAAATTTTTTGATAAAAGTAATACCACCAAATCATAACATGATAAAGCAGAAAAGAGTACTCGGAAGCAAATCAGAATGTCTGACAACATATCCACAGTAACATGAATATATTCAGTTTCCACAGACCTCTAGCAATGCAAGGGGACAGATATAGCCATAGAAACTACAGAAAACAGGGTACACTGAAACATAACACAAGAAAAACCAACATCACAGCATTTCCCAAAAGAACGCACAAACAAGAAGACAAACAAGAAGAAATAGATAGCGAACCTCAAAAAAATTGTCTTCTTTAAAAATCTCAAGCATTGATAAAATATCATCATCATCATTGTTAACAGCTTTCTCATTTGGTTCAGAAGGATTTGCTGTGCCAGGAGAAGGCATTGATCCTGATAGACATGAAGTGGAAGCTAACCCAATACATCCAACAGCATGGAGATCATTGTCATTTGGAACAGAACCATCAGATGTCATAGGCAAGATGGGAAGTGGTGCAGACAAAGCAGCACAAGGTATTCCCAGTTCTTCACCGTCCCAGTCTTCCTCATTAAACGGTCTCCCATATTGTGCACCATTCCTGGGACCACGACCTTCCTTTTGGAATACCTTGCAGACTACATAGGAATCCTGCCAAAAAAATACACCATGAGAACTAATTAAAATACATTCACAAGGACAACCAAATGGAAAAATCAACAAATGATATAAAGAATGTGAGAAGGGAAGCTAACTTGGTCGTATACAAACATCCAACAAATCTCTCAACAGGTGTAAGGCAAAACATGAAACAACAAATTCCATTCTGATACCACCAGCAACACAATAGGTGGAAACATAAAAGCCACTCTAAATTTCAGCATCAAAATATATTCATACTCTTAAACTTTTACCGTGTAATAAATACCAACAGTTGCAAGAATATTAGATATGCATTCACAATCAAAGGCACAAATTCAACAAACTTCCACACATCCAACAGTTCACAACAAAGTCATACATATATTTCCTTAATAAAGCTCTTCGATAAAAGAATTTCGGAATAAATTGTCTTTAATCTTTACAAATAGGGAAAGTTTTGCATTTAGTCCCTTAAAAAGTAATCATCTCCTTTTGATCGTCCTTCGTTTATAGAAATGACACGTTTTCATATACAAGAGACTAAGGATACAATTTTATTTCGAAACTAAAAAGGGAATCTTGCCCTGCTTAGCATAAACATATTTAACTCATAATTTTAACAATACATAACTAAGGAACGAATGGATACCTGAGCAATTCCTTTGTCAGCGAGGTCCTTATCTTCAAGCCTATGCTCGTGCATAACCCAATCAGTTCTTTTGCCATGAGGCGATTTACCAGTGTGAAATATCAGTGTTTTTATCTTCCCCACAGTTTGATTATTGTGCCGAACAACTCTATCCTGCCCAGTAGCTTTCCAATACCCAATTTCAGTAGCGCGCTTCATCCTGCTCCCACTGCAATATTTCTTCTCTCTCGAGCAGAAGAAGTACCATTCCAATTCCCCAGTTCTCAGACAAGACATGTCTGAAAAATAAACCTCGTTAGTTCCAAACAAACAAAAGGACACAACAAGACCCAAGATGTCTTTCATTTCTATTTTCAAAAACTGTTTTTTTGTTTTAAAAAAAATGCAACCAAATTAGGCTCCTCAGCCAGCCAGTAGAGTGTTGAACAAGACACTGAACAAAATATTATCTCCCAGCTGATACCTTTTGAAAAACTTATTTTTGGAAATAATTTTCAAAGCTTAATAAGCTCTGTATGAAAAATTAATCTCTTAGAAACCAGTTTTGAATGAAAAAGTGAAAAGGAAATGAAACACAGCGTCACACTATGTACCTGGGAGATCCCAAGGAGCATACTTGTATATGTCAAGTTCAGCTATTACACCATCACAAAACTTTTTCCCCATCACTTTCCTCTTCAGAAAGTACACAACCAACTCAACGCCAGTGGGGTGGAACCGAAACCCCGGTATCAATTTCTTTCTAGCCATCAAATTGAAACAAATACACCACTCACACAACACAACCCTTTCTTTTTTTATTTTATTTTATTTTTTTAATTTTTATATCAATTTGGATCAAAACCTCGTGCCTCAACAGCGATTATTGTTACTAGTTCAGGAATGAGTGAAGTGCAACGACGTTTGGAAACGAAAAGAAAAAACCCTAAATTTTGGAGTGTGTCAAGTCCAGTGGCGAAAGAGGATCTTAGAGAAACAGCGAAGCCTTCCACGGTTGGTGAAGCAAGAACGGTAGCCGACGACGGATGAAGAAGTTCCAATTTTGAGGTATACAGACATCGGCGCGGTGAAACCCTAAAATGGAAATGGAAGGGTTCGAGAGACGGAACGAGCCCCGAAGCTCAGTTCAGATGACAAACGTAGTGTTGTGAAGAGAGAAGAGAGAGAAAGAGGGAAAAAATTGAAAATCGAAGTTGCGTTACGATTGGGACTGTGAAATGAGAATGGAACTTTCTCTCTCTCTCTCTCTCTCGTTATTGAAGAAAATAAGAATTGCGAAGAAGGAGAGTGGAAGACACTGTTCTTTTATAGTGTACAAGAACGCGGTGAAGCTCCTGGCCCAGCGCCAACAACAACCATTTCTTTTTCAAGGTTTTGCTTTTTTATTTAGAATTTGTGTTTTTTTATTTAGTTGCCACTTTTGTTTGTATTTTTTAACATATTAATGTTTTCAAATATTGGATTGGAATTACATTCTAACATAAATTGAGATAAACAGAGGCTAAGCTGAGAATCTAAGGATGTCTCTCAATGTGAAAAAAGTCTTTTTTGGTCCATTAGGTAAGTTAATTTTAAAAATGAGTGAGAGTTTGGAGTGTGATTTTTTTTTCTTCTTTATCTCTCCCTAATTCCTATTTGTTTTTATCAAACAATTACCTTCTTTTCTTATAAGCAGAGAAGAGACACGTCATATTATACAAGTTTTTTTTTTAAGTCTAATTTGTTTAAAGTTTAATGTACTGCGAAAGTCCTTTTATGTAATTGAGTAATATTAATAACACATATTTTAATATATTTTTTAAAATATATTTTTTCTAATTGATTAAAATTTATTGAAAAACATAAAATTTAGTAAGTTTTATACATTATTTAATCATTCTTTCTTGATTTATCATAAATTATGATTGGATGACTATATAAAATCAATTTACATCACTATTAAACTCATAAATCTTAACTAACCTAATACTATTTAATGATATCATTCTTATTTAATTGAGGTTTTATTTTCTATGACCTTTTTCTATTCTTTATTAAACAGTTTAATCTCTTACCTCATTAATTGACATACACATGGTGAAATTTAGAAAGAAGTTATATCTTTTAAAAAAATTCTCACGAATAAAGTATATCACATTCTAACTTTATATCAAGTTCAAAGCTTAAATAGAAGAAAACATAAAATCATAAAGTATATAACATTCTAAAAGCCGTAATATTTAAGTTGAAATCTAAAACTATAATTTAAACCAACAAATTATTAACACATTATAAATTAATAATTAACGTAATTAATTTAATACAAGAATAATAATTTATTTATTTATTATTATTATAACATTTTTAACCTAGTGCATTCATGTGATGATTTTTTTTTGTTTTAAAATCTCACAGTATTCTATAAAATCTTTGGCTAAGAAATTTAAAATTAAATAAAAAAATGCTACCATGATGTCCAATATAATCTTATTGTAATTCTTAATAATAAAAAAATTATAATTATTAATTGCTTAGCCAATAGTGCTTACTAGTAAGAATGAAAATACGATACCCAACTTAATAAGATTCTATGAACGAATCTACAACAAACGACTATATTAGACTTTTTTTTATACATAGAAAATAGGTCAAATTAACTTTTTTTTTTATTAAAGCCTAATTAGTTAAAAGGTTAAACTCTAAACAATTTTAAAAGCCTGTTAAGCATAACAAGTCTACTTATTTAAATAAATATTTACTATTATTATATAAAAATTGTTATAATGTATTAAAATCGCAATTTATTTATATTTTTAGATATTAAGCATATTCTTATATAAAAAAGTGAAATACATTTATTTGTCTTTTTAAATATTAAGCATGTTCTAGTATAAAAAACGAAACTAGTGAATTTATTGAATAATACGTTTATGTCTTATTTAAAGATATTATAAAATATGTTTATAAATAAATTGCTATCATGAATGTCATATTACTATCCTAAACCCTAATTTTTAAAAATATGTTAATAATATGGTATAAGTAAATTTGACTCAATTTTTATAAAACCTAACATAATTATTTTCACTTCTATTTTAGTGTTAAATCATAGCAAAAATAAGCCTCGAGCTATCTTGTGGGTTAAAATAAACTTTTATGTAGATCAAGTGAGATCTTTAAAAAAAAGTCTATATAAATAAACAGTTCAAAATCAGACCATATATTATCAATTAAGGTCAAATCCAGGCTTAACAAAGTTTAATCTAGCTTAGCTTATTTCCCCTCCAACCCGTTTGCAAGACTCTTTGTTTTTTTCCTCCATCAATTCCACACTTGACTTGGTTGCATGCAGAGATAAATTTACAATTCCATCGGAAAAGTAAAATTTAAAAACTGATCCAGATACAATGCCACCAAAGCTGAAACATTTTATACGATTGATATGAAGGTGAGACAAATTTCACCGTGAAATCAACCAGAACATAAAACAATCAAACATCGTTAAAGAATCTGGATCACAATGTTCCAGGGTCAGGTATTGAATAATCAACTGAGAAGACTGACGCCTTTTAACAGCTGAGATCAGGAAAAATACAGGAGACCTGTCCATCATTTCCTCCATACAAATTGTACAAGGTCCGTATCTTCCGAACACACTTCCAAGACAATCAGTCAGTTCAGTTTACCCAGTCACCATTTCAACACCCATTTTAAATATGGTCTGTCCCGCTCAAACCACTGTACACTCTGCACTATCTCTGCATTTAGGAGGCTAATGCAACTTCTCCAAGCAGCAGAGCTTCATTCGTATGATACGAGGGAAATGAAAAAATAAAAAAGACCCAGTTCCAGTAACTATACCCTGGTACACTGTACAAGTTTTTTGGCCGGCTAGTATCTTCCTGGGAGAAAAGTGGCAGAACACCGCCACCTATTAACTCTTCCATCTGTTTAAAACTTTGAGGCCACTCCACAGTGAACCAACCTCCACTTAGTGACTTGTAAATGTAATATTAGTTGATTGATGAGCATTCACTATACACGGGTTGGCCAAAATGGAAAAGTAAGTGAGATGACACTCATAATATTCCATTCAAAACCTTCTGATAATAATCATACTGCCGTGTCCTCCAAGCATCCAGGCTACTGCTGATAAGTGAAAGCACCAAAGAGACACATTGCTGCCAAAAAAATAAATTACAACACTGAAATCACAACAAAAACATTTTACAGTTAAATAGGTAATATTATTAATATTGAAACCTCTTCAGTTAAACTGAGATGGAATCGCTTTCGTAGGTTCTGTATTGTCCGAGCACCGCCTTTAAAGCATGGGAAACCTGAATCCTGATACCAACACCCCCCACCCCCAACCACAATAAAAAAAGAAGAGAAAGATTCAGGGGAAATCTGACATGAATGAATGGGAAAGTATTTCCTGAACCACAAGCTACAGTGCAGGAAGGAATGCAGCATTCAATGTAAAAATAATGTTAGATACCTGTTAGTTGTCAATCTGTTCGTAATTAAAGTTAGTTTGTTAGTTAATTTCTTGTATCTGTTTGTCCTTTGGGCTGAGTTAAAAAGAATCAAGGCAGATTGGCTAAATAAGAGAGGTGGAAAGAGAGCAGTATCATGTCATTTGTGAGAGAATTGGAGCCTTTGGACATTGGGAATGCAGACCTTTGAAGTTCTGCAAATTAGGCACTGTATTCGAGGGAGAAATCCCTTATTCTTCGATCATATAATGAGATATTTTCAGTCAGTACAGTTTGCAAGGTTGTTTGAGAAACCATAATCTAAGCTACCTATTGTCCTGTTTTGGGAAACTGGAAGTACAAATCACAACCAGACAGAGAACACAACAAGACTACATATTATATGACCATGGAACCACAGGGAGCTAACATTCATATTACCTGCAACATCTCAACAAGAAGAATGATGCGCTCAGCATGCTTGCGGCAAGTAAGGAAGCCTTGAATGCATAAAACCTGAACCGCAGAGAACAAAGCAATATATCCTATTAATTTGAGATAACAATAGCATATATCATCATCTGCAATCTCTAAAGTAAAGATCAGAAAGAGTTATCATCAGCACCTTAAAATAATCAAAGAACTCACTTGGAACACCCTCAGCATCGGAATCCATAACCTAGCACAAATTGTTGTGATCAAATGGACATCTGAATATGGGGAGTATAATAAAAAGCAAATAATCTCTGTTTTTACCTCAAGAAGCTCACGTGTTAATTTGAAAGGTGCACTTTCAAAGTTAACACCACCAGGTGAATTGGAAAGCATGAAACCAAAATCAATATGTATGATATGACCTTCTTCATCCAATAGGAGGTTCCCATTATGCCTATCCTTCACCTGGATGACAATGAAAAATAGAAATGGGAAGAACAAAAGGCATTCAAAAACAATAAACAGCAAAAACATTTATCATTGAAATTGTCAATCAAGTGAAGCACCAGTTAATAAGAGGTTTCACACCTGCAGAAAGTAGCACACCAGGGAATATCCTGCCATACTTTCAACAAAGTTTCTCTGAAACAAAGTAAAATTATCAAAGTAAAACAGAATAACAGAAATGAAATTGTCTCCATTTTAAACAAAACCTAGGTGCTCTTCATCACACAAGTTAAAATTAACAAAATTATTAAACAAACATCTTCAAAAGGTAAAAATACCTATAAATTTAAACTGTGAAACAAATGGCACTAAAAAGTTATGCCAGATTAAAGGAAAAGGACAGAGGGAAAGTGAGGAGCAAACAAAGTACATTGATAAAAACAAATCAACTCTAGTGCATCCCAGAAAGGGATGCTGAGAAGCAGAACCTAAAAGAAAACCATTGCTCAACAATTTAAATGTATCAGCAGCATGATACAAGAACAATAAATCATAATGCAGAAAATGGCACAGAAATATGCCAAAGTATCGAAACTCAATTTAAACACACCAAAATGTTTGTATATGTTAATTTTTTGCAGTATTTAAACACCATATATTATCTAATATTTTTTGTTGAATTTGTAAGAAGTATATATTTTAATATTTTATCCAATATACATTGCCATATGTTCATCTTAATGCTAGATAACTCTGTTCCTTCGGTCACAACCATCACATACAGAAAACCAACAGGATTTCACAACCTTTTGGGCTCACAAAGGCAAATCCCTGTCCTAGTTTCAGTTTCATTCCAGTAGCCAGCCCTTGTTTCGGCAAGTTCCAACCAGGCTACAACTATTTGGCACTCTCTGCCTTGTGTCTTGGCAAGTCCAATCAGC